TGGGGGGTGGATGAGAAGCCCCTGCCAAGCTGCTGTGAGGAAAATCTCGTTAGCAGATGATTCCTCTGGTTCTTTGTGCAGCAGCTCAGCAGCCTGGCAGTGCCTGGGCCGTGTAATGGCAGCAGGAGGAGCTCCAGGCATTGAGTTCAGAAATTATGCAAAACCATTTTCTGGGTTTTATGGGGATGTAATAGCCCTTCCTAGCTCCAGCACATCCTTAATAGCTTGAATGCAGCTCACTTGAACCAGCTGTTCTGCCCAGGAAAGGCTGTTTGGCAGCAGGACTGAACTGAAGGGATGGGCTGTAAAACTCCTTAAACCTTGTGAGGTGACTTATCACAAATCCCCAAACGTGCCCTGGAACATCACTGGGTGCAGAAGCAGAGGCTGGGACGTGGCTAGTAAGTGCAGGAGGGAGTTGTTCCATGAATCCCTGGAAGAACTAGTACTAATAAATTCCGTGTTCTGTTCAAACAGAAACAGATAAAATAAAACTGCCTGTTTCATAGGCATTGAATAACTTCTTTATTAAAACCTGTTAAATTTCCTAGGTAACATTCTCGTGACATTGTTGATCAGTGCTTTGCTTGCTAAAGTACCCACATAACAACTTGGTACAGCTCAGAGTTCTGCTGTAAAACAGTGTTTTTAGTAGGCATTTTCTCTGACAAGCCCTGAGCTTTCCTCTTCCTGCTTTCCAGCTTTTCCGCCGTGTGGCTGCTGCCTTACCTGGGATGGACAGCACACCAGAGAAGAGCAAAGAAGACAGTATCCTTGCTTTCCCAGGGAACTGGACAATTATATGTTGTTAAATTGGGCTCACTGACTGCTTTTGGCACATTATGGGGATGGGGCTTTGCAGGGACGTGGCTGAAACAGGACATGGAGCTGTTGGAATGTGTCCAGAGGAGGCACCAAGTTGATCAGAGGGATGGAGCAGCTCTGCTGTGAGGAAAGGCTGGGAGAACTGGGATCGTTCAGCCTGGACAAGAAAAGGCTTAGGGAGACCTAAGCCTGGAAGAAAGATGGGGAGGGAATATTTACAAGGGCCTGGAGTGACAGGACAAGGGGGAATGGCTTCTCACTGCAGAGGGTAGGGTTAGATGGGATATTGGGAAGGAATTCTTGGCTGTGAGAGTGATGAGACCCTGGCACAGGTTGCCCCATCCCTGGAAGTGGCCAAGGCCAGGGCTTGGAGCAACCTGGGATAGTGGGAGGTGTCCGTGCCCGTGGCAGGGGGTGGGACTGGATGAGCTTTAAGGTCCCTTCCAACCCAAACCAGTCTGTGATTCTGTGACCCTGTTCATGGGCTGTAGATAAATGTACACAACTAAGGGCAACTAAAGCACAAGTTTTGCATCTCCACTTGAACTGAGGATGAAATCTGTGTAGTTTTAAAATGCTGTAATTCTTCATTCTTTTTGCACAGACCTGTCCAATTGGGCTCCATCCTCAAAGGGTCTCAACGTGCCAAGTCCCCTGGTTTTGCAGTGAATCCTGTTCAGGCAGAACATGCTCTGCTCAAACACCATGGGGGGACCACTAACAACCTGTTCTGTCCTTCTTGTTCTCCTTCAACTGGGTGATTTCCTTAACCCCCCCTTGCAGTGATCGACATCAAACTAGAGAAGCCCCCCGAGCAGCCAGTCACGGAGAGTGGGTGCTCCTGCTAACAGCACCTGCCAGCCATGCCCTGAGAACATCACTCATTGCCCAGGCATCCCTATGTGGGGCTGGAAAACAGCTCCTGAGAGCGACCTCCCTGTTTACTGGTGGGGAGCAGCCCCGGCCGCCCCTCTCACTGCATGGTATGAGCCCTGAGTGCAGAATGAGTGTCCTGTCTTTTGAGTTTATTTTTTTATGTTGTTGCACTTTGGCACCGTGGTGCCCTTTACACTCTCTCTCTCTCTGTCCCTCTCTTCCTCCCCTTCTCCCCCTCTTCCCCACCTCGAGCCCACCTGCTCCCCTGTATCTTGTGAATGCCATGGAAAAGCCGCCACATTAGGGAAGACAAAAGTGAAGCTTTGGGGGTGGGTTTTCCGCCTTCCCTACTGCCTTGCATCCCAGCCAGCTCCCTGCCCCGCCTGTCCTGCATCCTCACTTCCTCTGGGAAGGCTGCTCCTTTAAACCAGTCCCTTGGACTCGGCCTTGCCTTTTTGGACAGCCCAGGTCACCTGTTCCTAGGCTTTGCTTCCCGCAGGGCACACACAACATTGGCTCCTTTGTTTCTCCCTCCTGGTGATGACCCTGGCTAACTCTTGCTCACAACTTCCAAGTTTTGCCCCTCGTGTCACACACAGCACTGGAAAGCCCCAAACTCTGAAAGCTTTGGCCTTGTTGCTCCTGTTTGTGTAGCAGAGATCCCACAGCCTGCTCTCCTTGGTTGGAATCTCTTCCCATCCAGAGGATGTTGGTGCTCTGTGAGTGTTGGTGTAGGGAAGGGGGAGGAGGGAACAGAGGCTTTGCAGCGTGAGGCTGGGTGGGGAGAGATCCTCAGGGATTCTGAAAGCAAACTGACCTGAAATCCATCACTGCTGGGGCAATACCTGCCCTGGCAGTCATGGATTTGGCTCAGGCTCCTTTCCTGATCTCCATTCTGCTGTTCCTCATCCTATAGATGGGGAACTGCTTCTTGTGGAGCAGGAGAGCCACAGCAGATGGAAGGGCAGCATTCCACTGTCATTCCCAGGTTGCTGCTTGATGGGATCCCACCCAGCTGCTTCTGCCTTTGGAGCAGAACTCTGGGATGGGGCCAGCAGCCCTTTCACTGCTGGGGTGGTTTTAAGCTGCCAAAGCTGAGGGGAGCAGGGAGTGACTGTCAGAGTGGGTGCAGGAATGGGGGATTGTCTGCTGCTGAAGGGAACTCTGGTGTCACTTCCCAACCATGGAGGCTGGGAAATGCCTCCTCTCCCCACTGTCCCTGGTTTTCGGAGATTTTCAGAGATTTTAGTGGGGTTTTTGGGTCCATCTGCCCTAACAGAAGTCAGGAGGTTTGTCAGTTGGCAGAGAGGAGAATTTCACTGTCCTTTCCCCCCCGGGCTGTGTCACGGGGAGGATGCTGGTGGCAGGAGAGAGACTGAGCACGGTGTGACCACAGTCCCTGCCCTGCCAGGGTGTCCCTGACCCCGTGTGTGGAGCCCGCGGGCCCCAAGGAGGGGAAGGGGCAGTTCGGGCTGGGATCTGGCAGTCCCTGGGATGGCAGTTTGTTCCCCTTCCCCTCGGGGTGAGCTGGGCTGCAGGAGGAAGCTGGGCTGTGGTCCCCCATTCCCTGTGGAGTGTCCCCTGTCCCCCCCTCCCGGCGGTGGCGGTGCCGGGAGGCGGATCCCTCTCCCTCTCCCTCTCCCTGTACATACCCGTTGGGATCGCTGGTGTCGCTGTGTCCCTGTGTGTTGCTGTCCCCCCTCCCGGCGGCCCCGCTGCCCCCCTGTCGTGTTGTTGGAGTGGCGGAGCGGGGAGGGAGGGGGGAGACCCCACTGACGGGGTGGGGGGTAATTAGTGAAATGAATAGTTCCCTTCCCTCTGTCCTCTCTGGTGTGTTCAATGCCGTGTGTGTCGGCCCCGCTGTCTCGTAGCTGTAGCGAGTACGTGTGACTATTACTCTGAGTATGGACTGTCTGACACAGCCCTGTATCACAACCAATAAATAAAGTTATTTCACCAACACCTGCGCTGGCCTGGTGCCACAGGGGGACTCACTGCGAGGGGTGACCGGCCTGTACAGAGCAGGGGAGGGAGGAGGAGCAGGAAAGAAGGGAAGGACGAGGAGGAGGGATGGAGGAGGAGAAGGAAGGACGAGGAGGAGGGACAGTAAAGGAAGGAAAGAAGGAGGAGGAAGAGGGAGGAAGGATGGAGGAGGAGGGACAGACAGACGAAGAGGAGGAGGGATGGAGGAGGAACAGAGGAGCAGAAGAGACACTTGGAAGGACTTTTCTCTGCTGACATGTTTGCAAAATGTGGAATATGTAACAATTTCCTTAAGAAAGGCTGTTCTTTGATGTTTGATTTTCATTTACTTCCAAGCCTGCTCAGCAAGAAAGGAGATTTAATCTGTGAAACAGCAGCCAGCAAGCTCTGAGTGATGGCCAGGGGTTGGGAAGACAAATTACTTGTTGCTGGAAGGCAAATCCCACTCAAACCATTCCAGGATTCTGTAAAGTTTGCACCTCTCAGCTTCAATTTTGCAAGTCACTAAAAAAATCCAGAATTGCTGGAGCTGTTGTTTTCCCACCAGGGATCACAAACTACCCATTTGTCCCTCAGGTTCTGGAGGATGAAATGGACTGTGATGGCCCTAATGCTTTGATAATTAAGACACCCAAGACATGAATGTGTCTGGGAAAGAATCCACTCTTTCCTGTTAGCCAGGGTCGGCAGGGAAGCTCCTGAGTCATTCCCTGTAAGGGCAGGGAAGAAGCTGCCCAAGGCAGGGGAGACCTTCCTGGAGCTCCTACCAGGGATTACTCTGAAGAAGGATGAACAAATTGAACATTATGGTTGTATTTGCAGTTCCCTATGGAGAGAATTCCTCCTTCCCCAAAAAACATGGGAATGCTCGGAAATGGTGTAAGACCAGAGAGGTGAATATCCCATGGGACACAGAGACCTGTGGCAGCAGAAGAGCTCCTACCTTGCCTCCCCAGGGTCTCACAGTGGGGTTTCCAGTGTGCTCATTTCCCTGGTAGAAAAACTAATTTTTAATTCTGAATGAAAAATCTCTTTTCTAGTGTATTTTCTGCCCCTCACTGCCCGGTGCCCCAGGCAGTGCTGGAGTCGTGTTGGTGCCACCACAGAAAAATCCCCCCAGAGCAGCTCCTGCTCCTTCCTGGCAGTGCTGGAACATGTTCCAGGTGCATCAGGGCTGACTTCCAGCACAGTCAGTGGAAAAACACCCTGAAACAGAGCTGCACCTCCTGTGGATCCCAAATTTTCTCCTGCAGGCTGGAGCCGAGCCTTGTCCCAGCATTTTCTGAAGGTGGGAATGAACAACCCTGCGCACAGACTTCCTGGGTGGGAATAAGCTGGATTTGGGTTGCTGTACTCATTTTATTGTTTTTATAGATGAAGTGGAAAACACCACAAGGAAGAAAAGGGCAGAGCCAGGGCTGTCCTGAAGCCATTACAACGTGATCACAGCAGGCATTGTCACCCACATTTGCTGACAATTAACATTTCCGTACTTGATAATTAATGTTTCCAAACACCCCAGCCCTGTATCTCGGGGTCATTCCCAGCACAGAGGCACAAAGAGCCCAGTGCAGCCAGAGCTGGGCACTGAGTTTGGGTGGGTTTTACTCCTGGATCCCCCAGCAAACCCAGCAGAGCAGAGCAGAGGTGGCACAGAGGAGAAGGAAAGAATTCCATGGCATGAGGGAAGGGAACGGGGGATTTCTTGGAGGACAAGGCCCCTGCTTTGCTCAGGAGCCTCAGCCCCTCGTACTTTTCCATCCCAACAAAGCTTCCAGGCCCAAGGGATCCAGAGCCAGCACAGCACTCACTCAAGTCCTGCTGAAGGAGGAGCAGGGATGGTGCTGGAGCAGCTCCCTCCAGGCCCCAGCTGCCAGCGGCTGTTCCAGCCCCACTCAGGAGCACAGGCTCAATCCCCTCCAGCCTCCAGCTGGGTGAGACTCTGGGCATCTCTCCAGGCAGGGCACAGCTGTGCCTCCAGTGGGAGCTGAGCGGGCTGGGCCATCTCGGGAGGTGGGAAAGCAGGAGAGGTTTGTGCAGGAGCCCCAGCAGAGCTCCCCGTTAGTGAACAGTCCGTTCCTTCTGCCGCTGGTAATCTGGGGGAGAGGCAGAGCCTGAGCAACGGGGGAGTCACCCCAGGGGCAGGAAAACACCTTCTGGCCACACCTGCCCAGGCAGAGGCAGAGCTCGGGCCCCTCTGCCTTTGCAATTGCACTTTTGCATGCCAGCCCCTCATTGACAGCAACAGTTTGTTTTCAACCCTCTCTTCCTCCACTCCATGTTTTCCTTTCAGAAAGAAACCTATTTGGCTTGACTTGATCTCTTTTCTTATCTCTTAAATCTCTGAACTTTATGGGAGCAGAAGCAGAACGTGGGAGTGAGCACAGACCTTCCCTTCACTCACCATTCCAGCATCCCTTAGGAGGGGCATCCACCACTGGCACTGGTGCCAGAGCTCATTCCTGTGTTATCCAAGGATAATCAGCTGCCTCTGGAGCTCTAAATTACCTTTGTCCTTCCCCACCTTCCCCCCTTCCAGCACGAGGTGGCTCAGTCCCGCTCCCCAAGTTTCCCTCATTGTCCTGAGGTGGTGCCTGATCCCAGATCCCGGTCTGTGCCCTGCCAGACTCGGGGGGAGGTGGCAGGGAGGGCTGGAAGGTGCTGCCCCCGGAGCCCCGGCCCCACTCACTGTAGGGGAAGTAGCGCACGCGCATCGTGATCTCCCGGGCCGTCTTCAGGATCTCCACGGCCTGGAAAACAAGGGCTGGGCAGGGCTGGGCAGGGCAGGGCCGGGCAGGGCAGGGCCTTCCCTGGCCCCGTGGGGAGGGGCTGGAAGGGCCTGGATGCCCCCCCTGCCCCAGCTCACCTTGCTGTGCTCGATGTCCTGGAAATCCACGTCGTTCACCGACAGCACCTGGTCCCCCTCCTGCAGCCCCGCCCTGTGCGCGTCTGAGTCGGGGATCACCTGGGCACAGGGATGGCACGGGCTGGGCACCGACCCTCCCACGGCACCCTCAGCACCCACGGGGCACCGGGCAGCACAGGGAGCAGGGAAGGCTCAGCCCCGGCAATTCCCGGGGCTGGGAAGGGACTGGGCAGTGCCACAGGAGGGGCTGAGTGTGGGAAACCCCAGCCTGAGCTGGATCCAGGGGGAACGGACAGGGATGGACACACCTTGGAGATGAAGATCCCCAGCTGGGAGGCTTTTCCTCCCCGGATGTTGAAGCCCAACTGTGGGAAAAACCAGCAGTAAAAGGCAGACACCAGGGCCCTTCCCTTGGCCCAGGATCCTTCCCATTCCCAAGGCCCTTCCCTTGGCCCAGGATCCTTCCCATTCCCAAGGCCCTTCCCTTGGCCCAGGACCCTTCCCATTCCCAAGGCCCTTCCCTTGGCCCAGGACCCTTCCCATTCCCACGACCCTTCCCATTCCCAGGACCCTTCCCATTCCTAGGTCTCTTCCCATTCCCAGGTCACTTCCCATTCCCAGCTCCCTTCCCATTCCCAGCTCCCGCCCCTCTCTCCCAGACGGATCCCGGTCTCTGGTCCCGTTCCCAGCAGCCCCAGCCCCTCTCTCCCACCTCCCGTTCCCGGAACCCCCGCGGGGCCGCCGCTCCCGCCCCTCCGCAGCTCCCCCTCCCCAATATCCCGCCGGGAGCGATCCCTGCCCGTGCCCCCCGGCCCTGCCCCTTCCCGGCCCCGGGAATCCCGCGGGCCCGCCCTGCACGGGCCGGGTCGGGACCATCGCGGCTTCTGCGGGAACCGCGCCGGGACCGGCCCCCGGGCCCCCGCGGGCTCTCACCTGCGCCCCGGGCGGCTTCTGCAGGGCGATGGTGCGGGGCAGGAACCGCGTGAGCTCGTTGTTGTAGTCGGGGTGAAACACCCGCTGCGGGGACGCGCCAGCTCAGCCGGGGCCGGGCCGGGCCCCCGCCCGGGCGACCCCGCGGCCGCCCCCGGGCCGGCGCGGCCCCCCGAGCCCCCTCACCTCGTGCGGCGGGACCCAGGCGGGCGGGCTCTCGTAGGGCGGCAGGAAAACCACCGGGAAGTCGTCGTAGGGAGCGCGGGGCTCCATGGCCGCCGGCTCGGGCGGCGCGCACCGCGCGCCCATTGGCTGCGCCGGGCCGCGCCCGCCCCGGGGGACGCACCGGCCCGCCATTGGTCCGGCGCTCTGCCGGCCCCGCCGCTTCCTGCCGCTGTGATCGGCGATTGGCTGTGCCCCGCCCCTCGGTGAGGCCCCGCCCTGTGATTGGTTTGAACTCCGCCCGTCGGTGACGCACCGCTCTCTGATTGGCCGGTTTGAGCCGCGGCCATGGCGGCTGCCGTGGCAGCTCCGGGGCCGCGAACGAAGTGGAGGTTCTGGTGAGCACGGAGGAGGCTCGGCGGCACCTCGCAGACCTGCTGGAGGACAGGAAGATCTTGGCCCAGGAGCTGCAGCAGCTCAAAGAGAAAAAAGAGTCCGGGGAAAACCCACCTCCAAAGCTCCGGGTGAGGGAAAGGCCCCTTTCCCCGTCCCAGCCCTGGGGGGTTCAGCAACACTGGGGTTATTCTGATCCTCACTCCTGTTCCCTCAGGAGGTAGGGAAGGGGCTCCATCCTTGGCTGCCTTTCTGGGAGAAAGGCTTCATGTGGTGAAGAGGTGCTGAAGTGACTTGTTAATTCATGCAATTCGGGAACATTTCTTCACTGGAGGGGCAGTCGGGCATTGGCACGGGCTGTGCAGGGCAGAGGTGGAACCACCATCCCTGGCAGTGTCCCCAAAAGGTGTGGATGTGGCCCTGGGAGTGTTGGGTGAATGGTCGGACTCGCCCTCCGAGGGCTTCTCCAGGCTCAGTGAGGGCTGTGAGTGGGTCACACCCTTATCGAAGGCTTTGTGCTTTGGGGAAGGGGCCCTGGAATTGCAGCTCTGGAGAGAGCTGCTCCTCTGTGCTGGGCTGTCTAAAGGTGTGATTTCCTCCCCTGTTCCTCCCTTGGCTGCAATTCCTCAGAGAAGGACCTACTGCCTGGCAGAGCTGCAGTCCCCAGAGCTGGCTCTCTCCATGTCAGGGGCTCTCTGGTTTGGGAGTCAGGCAGGACAGAACAGCTGAGCTGGGCCAGGGCCGGCACAGCAACTGCTGGCAGTGTTTGGAGACCAGTTCTTTCTCACTGCAGAGAGCCCAAAGGGTGGGAGGGCTGTTGTTCCCAATAATTTCAAATTCCAAGCCAGGTTGTTTAGTAATTCCTTTATTAACAATATTCCTTTATTAACAAACCAGAGTTAAAATTCCTAAATTATTCACACACGACCAGTTTCTAACTTCCGTGAATAAGGTCAGACCAGAAACCCCGCTGGTTTAAGGCTACAGCCAGTGTCTCCTGATGGCAAAAAGGCACAAAAAAAAGAGTTAACAAAGATTCAGCTGGTATACCTTGTCCTGTTTGCTCTACCAGTTCTGCTAGAAGAACATTTTAGGAGCACTGCTTAATATCATGTTCTGTTCTGCTCCCTGGACCAAAAGCCTTAGGATAGAAAGGAGTAGCATACACACAGTAATGAATTAGGTAAACCAGACATTTGAATAAGATCTAGAAGGCCCAGAGCCAGGATTTTGCAAGCTTGAAGAATTCAGGTCACCTCACTGAAGAGGTCAAATCGAGGAAGACGTCCATGGTGACCACCAGAGGGATGAAGGCTCGAGGAGACCCCACAGTAGAAGACTGGGCATGTCTGGAAAGACTCTGCTCAGAGACTCTCCTGCTAATTAATATGTATGTTAGATGATCTAACCAAGTATCCCTAGTGTATAGTATGTATATAGTATATATAAGGTGTGTATATAAAGAATATGCAGTAGGTAATTATGCATGCACACTTTATATATATGTGTGTGTAATATTATTATTTATGTTTTTATATACTTTTAAACTTTATTTTTTATTTTTTATATAGACTATATAGATTTTATATATTTTCTTATATATGCTTATATATATTTATATTTACTAATATGTGCTTTGATTTATTAATTGTATTTTTTATTTCAAAATGTTTACATGTACTTTATTTACCAGCAATATTTGGTATTATTTATTAACTTATCAAATACATTGCCTAATATAAATATTGAAAATAAATATAAAACTATATAAATATATATTCATAATATGTATTTATACATATTATATAAATAAATATTTATAATATTTAAATATAAATATTAAAATTTGATGTATGTAGAGAAAATACAGTAGTTAATTATGCAAGGATATAGACACTTTATATATGTGTGTGTTATTATATAATTATGTTTTTATGTACTTTTAAATTTTATTTTTTATTTTTTATGTAGACTATATAGATTTTATATATTTTCTTATATATGCTTAAAAATTTATATTTACTAATATGTGCTTTTGATTTTTTATTTCAAAATATTTACATGTACTTTATTTGCCAACAATATTTGTTATTATTTATTAACGTATCAAATACATTGCCTAATATAAATATTAAAAATAAATATAGAATATTAAAATATGTAAATATATATTCATAATATATATTTATAGTATATAAATAAATATTTATAATATTTATAAATATTAAAATTTATAGTATGTATATAGAGAATTTACAGTAGTTAGTTATTCATGCATATGCACTTTATATATGTGTGTTATTATATAATTAATGTTTTTATGTACTTTTAAATTTTATTTTTATTGACTGTGGAGATTTTATATATTTACTTATATATGCAAAAATATGTATGTGCAAAATATATATATGCAAAAAATATGTGCTTTGATTTATTTATTGTATTTTTATTTATTTGAAAATATTTACATGTACTTTATTTACCAACAATAGTTGTTATTATTTATTAACATATCAAATACATTGCCTAATATAAATATTAAAAATAACTATAAAACTATCTAAATATATATTCATAATATCTATTTCTACAAATATAATATTTAAATATAAATATTAAAATTTGATGTATATGGAGAACATACAGTAGTTACTTATGCAGGCATATAGACACTTTATATATATGTGTGTTATATAATTATTTATGTTTTTGTGTACTTTTAAATTTTATTTTTATATAGACTTTGGATTTTATATATTTACTTATATATGCTCATATATGTTTATATTTACTCATATGTGCTTTGATTTATTAATTGTATTTTTATTTATTTCAAAATATTTACATGTGCTTTATTTATCCACAATATTTGTTATTATTTATTAACATATAAATATTATATATTTATATATGTAATAATATTTGTTATTATTTATTAACATATCAAATACATTGCCTAATATAAATTATAATATAAAATATATAAATATATATATAAATATAAATATTAAAATTTAAAGTATGTATATAGAGAATATACAGTACTTAATTATGCATGCATATAGACACTTTATATGTATGTGTGTTATTATATAATTATTTATGTTTTTGTGTACTTTTAAATTTTATTTTTATATAGACTATATACATTTTATATATTTACTTATATATGCTGAAATATGTATGTATGTTTATATTTATTAATATGTGCTTTGATTTATTCATTGTATTTTTATTTTAAAATATTTACATGTGCTTTATCAATGTTATTTATTGTATTATTTATTAGTATATAAAATACATTTCCTAATATAAAATATTAAAATAGTTCAAATAATATGCACTATTAAATACCAATGCCACACCCCATGTAATTATATATAATATCTCGCTTATATATGAGCCCCCTTTTAATATAAATGTCTGCATACACTTGTGTTATGCACACACAGCCATGGCTTAATCTTTTCTGTAGACACTTTTATTTGTACAGTCTCAGGCCCTTTTTATTCCAATGTATAACACATACAGCATGTCCCACTTGCCAACATATATAACCTATATATAGCATATATTATATGTATTCTTATGGTATATATAATATATATGCATATTATATGGTATTACATTACCATCTATGTATTGATTTTTAATTACATACATCTGCACTCTCACAGACACTTCTTATTTATATACTATTCATATATATATGAATTTATATAAAACTACTTGATACCCTCTCACACATCCACAATTTTTAAAAAGTGCTTAATATACACTTATATTTAGACACACGCAGTTTGTGTCTCTCTCTCTGCTCTATTTTGTATATACACATATATTTGCACTCTGTAAATGGCCTTTCTGTCTATAAATATCCAAGGTACATAACAGAACACAGCATGTTTTCTGTAAGCCATGCTGTGTGTCACAGTCTGTTACTCATACTTCTGTTTGATATAACACAATTGTGTTACTGCCTGCTCTAGTATATTAAATATACACAAGTAATATGTAATTAATATAATAACGTCAGGGGCTGCAGCTGCTTCCCGAGGGCCAGCCCTGAGCTCTGCTCCATGTGACAGGGACAGCACCCAGGGAATGGCTGGAGCTGTGCCAGGGCAGGCTCAGGTTGGATCTCAGGGAAAGGTTCTTCCCCCAGAGGCTGGTTGGGCACTGCCCAGGCTCCCCAGGGCAGTGGGCACAGCCCCAAGGCTGCCAGGAGTGTTTGGACAATGCCCTCAGGGACAGGGTGGGATTGTTGGGGTGTCTGCAGGGCCAGGAGTTGGACTGATGGGCCTTGTGGGTCCCTTCCAGCCCAGGATATTCCATAATTCTAATACATAATGTACCACACTTGTGTCTGGAACCTCCTCCCAGCTCCCCGCCCACTCCTGGGGGTTGTTCCCTAATCCTGCAAAAACACAGGACAAGTTCCCTTCCACCACAGGCATTTGTTCCACAGCACAAGGATTTGTTGCCTTTGTGCTGTGCCTTTGCTCTTCAGGTTTAAGCCCTTGCCTGAAGGCTGGGATGGAAAGGGATGTGAGATGGGATTGGCACCCTTTCATTAGGGCATAAGCCCTCAGAACTCAAAAGCTTGTTTAAATCACTTGAAAATAAACATCTTGCAGTTCTCAGGGACTTTATGTGCTTGGAAAGTAGAGAAAGGACTGAACTTGGGATATTGGGAAGAAATCCTTCCCAGTGAGGGTGGGAGGCCCTGGCACAGGTTGCCCAGAGAAGCTGTGGCTGCCCCTGGATCCCTGGAAATGTCCAAGGCCA